ATGAGGTGGACCTAAGTAAGTGACGGACTCCTTGACATTAGGATGAAAGAAAATAAAATATGATGAAAAATACTTGTGAAGATGCAACATGTGATCTGGTTTCTTTATTTATTTCTGATTTGGTGTAAACTGCTTCTCTTGCTGCTTTTATCTCTACCTAATTGCAAATCATGTAGTCTTTTTGTATGCTCCAATAGTTTATTTTGTCTATTTTTTTTTAATTGAAAGTCTTGTGGTCAACGAAATTAAAATTTACTGCTGTAACATGATTTCTTTCAGTTATACTGTTTACAACTTTTCTTTTCAAATAGCAAGGGAGGATTAACCTTGACATTTGAAATGTAGTTTACACTTCTCATTTATCTTAATTATATAAATTGTTTTAACCTTAAATTATTCATATTTCTTTCACTTTGTTCTCTAACAAAAGAAAAAAAAAGAGAATTGAATTTGCATAGTATAAAAAGTTTGGATTAGCTCTTGTAATAAAAAATATAAGGGTGTAATTTTTCTATATTTTTATAAAATTACTGTTAATAATTTATGAACATAATTTGCAGCTATTTAGTAAGTTTTAGTTGTTTCTGGAAAATTGTCATCGAACTATCTATTTTATATTTAAAAATATTACTAAAATCACAGACATTCTTTATATTCAACTTCTAATATACAACTTTAAAAAATTAGTTTATTTTTTTGTAGTATGTAACTTATTTTCAATTTTCAATCTATGCTTCTACATCTTGAGATCTTATTTTCCTTGAGTAATTATCTTTTGTTCTAGTCCTTCTCTCATGGTTTTTTTTATTTTCACTTCAAGTCTTTGTGGGTGTAATACTGTGTTAGAATTTATGTCATCCATAGTAGAGATTATGATAGTAAGCTATTAAGCTCTCAAACACCATTTTGAATCATTCCAATAAAGTTTATTGGACCTATCAAGTTCTCCGTGCATGCATGTGTTACAAAAGCTAATGCTTAATATTATAAGTTATTTAGTGATTGCACTATGCTTCAAAAGAAATAATGTGTTTTATGTTTTAATTTTTATCTATCAAACATCTAATAATTTATAGTTATAGTTCTTATTTTTCGGATTTAGAAGTGTCATGATATTTTTTTTACAGAATTATTTGATATATTTTATTATTTAATATATATATATATATATATATATATATATATATATATATATATTTAAAAAAAAAA